AGTAACACTGTTGGACAATCTTGTTAAAGTGATATGTTTAGTCATTTCCTTTTCCTGTTACCTGGTAAGGTATTTAGTAATGGTTTATTGTTTGTGTCACCAAATGCTAAAGGAATGTTCAATATCATCTGCCTTAAATGTTATTTACTTTCAGATAGAAACATCAGCTAAAGAGAAGGGATGTAGATCATTCTCATATGATTAAGTTTGTCCTTTGCAGGCCACCGTAGCTGGTGCGTCACACGGTGACGTGTTAAGGTAATAGGCATTCAGTTGTTAGTCGGCATGCAACGTACATGTTCACTGTACATGCTGTGGTCATAAATAAAGCCACCACTTGCCTATGCATTGTGTATTCCTTGTACATACACACATGCATGTATTAAGAAGTATTGACAACTTCTACATTTGTGACGTAAGGATTTGAGTTTACCTCCTACTGAAACCATTTTGACTGTGAACATATTTTTGAGAACAGATTAACTAAGAAGTTTGTTGAAGTTTCTGCTTGTTGCTCTTTTGACAGCCATACAGACAGCTATCGGAAATGTGAAAAACTGGAGCAAAAAATGATCTCCATGTATTACCACAAACTCTTCATTCTATTCCTCATGGAATACAGTTCAAGCAAGAAGATGAGCTGTGCGTATGCAGACGGATGAACAGCTTGCGGTGACCACTGACAGACAACAGGAACTAAAGAACAGTATCAAATACATGTGTATTTGTAATTACAAAATATGACTTAAACATATTCATTCAAATGGTTTGTGTCTTTGGTCACTGTTGATGTTGCATGAGGTTAGAGAACTCCACTCAGGTGAGACAGCCTGTGGTTGTGTGAAGCTTTGCTACCATCTACTGGTGAGTAACCAAGATGCATTACAATATTCACCAAACAACATTAGTTAAGTTCAATCAAAGTTAATACAACTGTTTTAAACTCTAAACTATTATATTTAAGATAATCACTTGCAAAAGGCATTTCAACAAACATTACAATTCTCTTATTCATTAATTAAAATATAGGCAACAAATTAACAGTTTTTTCTTTTATAGAGGTCATTTTTGCCATGTCGTAAGAAAAGCACAGGTGTAAATAATACATTATGGATGTCTGAATTCCATTTACCTTTTGGTGCAGGCTCTCAGTAACACTGTCGGGGCTGACTGGGACACTTGGAGCCATCGTTAATGATATCAGTGACACCTGTGCTTTCCCACAATCACATGTCTTTATGCGTCCTGTGAAAAAGGCACATTCTCCAAGGCAGTAGTTCATCAGTCAACACTATTAATTGGATTAGTGTACCAAATATGGAGAAAACAATCTGATGAAGCTTGGCACGAATGTTGTGTAGATTGTGTAAGCAACAGGAACCCCATCATAAACTACACTGTTAGTCCCATTGAGTGTGACAGTAAAAACGCCATGCACTACTCCATGAAAAGTAGAAATATGGAAGCCAGTCATTTTTCTGAATTTAAACGTGAGCTTTTGCTTTTGTGACATGTCAAAATATCAAACTTTTGTTTCCCTTTTTTATCAAAGGGACATTTTGGCTTCAGGGATGGTTTAATAAGCAGAAATGACAAATAAACTTGATCTAAATGATTCAACCTAAAAAACATTCTCAAACACATGTGCAAAAATGACAAATGTCCAACCTTAAAGTCCTTACTAGATCATAATAGGCTTTATTTTTGCATCTAGATTGAATGTACTATAAATGACTAAAAAAAGCTTACTTGTCCTACATTTTAACAGCCAGTCCGTCCCTGCTAAGAACACATATTCATGCAGACCTTCAGTATTTGCAACGTGCTGATGTATCAACATCTGAGGCGTACTATCTTCAAACCTATAAAAACATCAAACACACAGTAGGGGTGGACCCCATTCGACAGATTATGATGCTATAAAAAAATTGTAAAACAAGCTAATTAAACAAGCTTTTGTTTGTAAAACGATTTTTGACAATCAACTGCTAAACTGAAACATACTGGAAGTCAATTATTAAACAAATGGACAAAAAAACACACTTGCTGATGTGCCCAACAGGGACAGGGGCTGTAATATCATGTTTGGCACAATAGGTGTCCCTATTTGCTCAGTTAAACAAAATACATGATTTATTGGGTGAGAGTAGGGTAGGAGATTTGCTTAATGTTAACCAGTTAGTCTCATATATGTGTTTTAAGAGGCAGGTATGGTTTTATCCTGTTGTATGTTGTTTATTTGCAGTTGTTAAAAACTAAATGATATACATTGTACACATTACATTGTAACCTATCAAGAACACAGAAACACTGCGGGTGCAGCTCAGATAAAACCTACGAATTAAATATAAGCACAAACATAATTTGCCGTAGAGTTTGCGTGTGTTGCTCCGGTGTGTCAGTGCAAATTAGGTGAATAGTGGTTTGTGGATTCAAGCTCCTCAGTGCATTTTGCAGCTGCAGATTGCACTGGAATGTCTGTGCTGTTACCTCAAAGCAGACTGTGCTGCATGGTAAACATCAATCATTAGTGTCTTTTATGAGGATTCCCTGTACAGGTTTGTGTCTTTCAGCTCAGTCATTAAAGATGTCTGGTTTACACTCACAGCAAACAGGCCAGGGAAGCGTTCTCTTACCTTGTCCACAGCCTGGAGAGTGTGGAAGGACCTCAGCCGCACAGCTTGGTTTCACTAGAAAACTGCTTTTGAGTGGGCTTGTTGTCGTGCTTCAGGACTCCACTAAATCCTTAGATTAGATGTTAGGAACCAAAGCAGGCTTCTGGCAAGAAATCAAAGCAGTTCTTCAGGGACCAACGTATCTGTTTTCATTTAATGTACAAAGTCATCTCTGTGCAATGAGCCCTGGAAAAGTGGCTTGTGTTTGCCTTATGCTGAAGTACCTGCACCTTTATTACTGAGTCATTTTAGTGACATAATTCCTTGAAAATGGTACTTTCCACCTCTTAGTGGTTTCAAAGCTTACTGGGAATTTGCCTCACTCGTTGATTTGACATAACAATTTGATTAGTCATCGGGCAGTTGACAGCTTCAGCTGTTTCCAGAACTCAAGAATATATGTACCTCAGTGAGAAATTGATTTAAAGGCATTTGCTCTGTTTATGTGTCCCATAAGTGGAACTGAACTCTAGAAAGTCATGTTATGGAAATGCAACCTGCACCACTAAGTGAATCCACATGGAGCCACAATCTGGCGAGCACAAGCACCCAGCCAACGCTGACCTGCTGCCCTTCTGTATTAACCAATTGGCCTCTCTGTGGTAGAGGGAGACTCTGCTATGGTGATAATAAACACATGAGGGTTTACTCACAAAATAATTCTGTGAAATAAGTCCTGCTCCGTTTTCATTTCATTTCAATCTTTATTTTGAACAGATTAAAAAAATAACAAATAAAAAATAACAAATGTGAAAAAACAGAATACCGTATTGTTAAAATGCAGTATTTATCCACATTCATGATACAAAAAAAGTCTTCATACTAATAATAATAATAAAAAATCATATGTGTCCGAAAGGGAGTAGGAGGAAGCAAATGCTTATTAATTCCCACCCCTTACTTGATCAATGATTGTCCTTTAAATCATTATGCAAGTTATTCCTACTTACATTTATACATACATACACAATCATTTCTCATCTTCAATCACCTTTCTTCATTCTCATAGTTTTCCAAAAAAGTGTTTCTGTACAACCTTTTAAACTGAATTATGCTTGTGCTTTGTTTTAACTCCTGCTCCAAACCATTCCATAAAATCACCCCACAGATTGTTATGCTCATACTTCTCAGAGTTGTTCTGACCTTGAGTTGTTTAAAATGTAGATTTCCTCTCAAATTCTACCCACCCTCTCTGTCTATGAACAGTGTTTTTAATTTCCTAGGAAGTAGATTATGTCTGGCTCTGTACATGATTTGTGCCGTTTTAAATTTAACCAGATCAGTGAACTTCAATATGTGACTTCAAAAATAATACATTAGTGTGTTCAAGATATCCAACATTATTGATAACTCTTATAGCCCTTTTTTGTAATGTGCATAACGGCTGTAGGTTGGTTTTGTACGTGTTTCCCCAAATCTCCACACAGTAAATCAGATATGGCAATATCAAAGTGTTATATAGAGTATGCAATGAGTTGATTAAAAATGTGTTTTCGTTATTGTCACGTCACTTGGTTGTTTGACCTCCCAGAATGATGTATGTGCAGAGTTTGACACTTAAGAGCTGTTTTTAATTCAGCATAAGAGGAAAACGTCTATGTGTTAACCCATAAGTATGTTTTAGAAATGCACGAACAAGCATGGTTTGAAAGCCAGATGTTGTCTGCTGATATGTAACTTACAAACATTTCCAGACTCAAAGCAATGATTAAGACGTAGACGTGTCATTTAATGTTATGTCTCTTGTATATTTCAAAAATATGTTTTTTAATTAGGATTTATTTTGTGTGTAAACAACTATATGAGGCGCAGCTTGTTAATCAAGCACATTTTTTTGTTATAGTTTGTAAAGTATGTGTTGAGGGAATGTTTAATGTTTAGATGTAGCGTTGGAAGCCATGCTGATATTTAAGAGTGTAGCTAGACACAAAAAAATGCTTTGATTATGTTTAGCCTGTGCAATGTGTGCAATATTCAGGTTACTGTGCACATATTTGCAAATGAGTGCAAAACACAAATTACAGCGGAGGAAGATTCTAATGTGCAGATATTTGGCCATAAACCAAAGTGTGATACAAATTCAAATATAACCTGATGATGGTGCTCAATGAAAAAGTATGACATTGGCAGCATGTACTTGCCAATATATTTTTCAAAAAAACAAAACCTTACGTTGGTGCAGATTAATGCCAATGGCTCATCAGAGTACATTGGACTCCTCTGGGGATCATGAGGGTCAGTTTGTCCATTAAATTGGTTTAATTCTTGTTGAAACATATTTAAATATTTGCCATCCCTAGAGCCATAGCTAGAAATAAACAGAAATGGACTTGTGATTTTTTTTATTATTACTTATTTTTTAACATGTTAGTATAGTAGCAAGACTTACAGTATAGGTATGATTAGTAAGCATAGCACCAGAATCAACCATTCATTTCTTTTATACAGGCTACACACATACTGTATAGGTACACATGATTTTAAAAACATCTTTGGATAAAGCAGAGCAAACAAGCACACTGTTTCTCTATTCAGTACCAATGCCCATTCAATATTTAGCACACTGTTTACAATTCAAGTATGAATATTAAAAATACATCATATATATCATAAGTTACAAATCTTAACGGTTATAAAAAAACAAAACAGGATTACATTTCTACAAAATGTATGGCACATAGTGCATCAAGTATTCTTTACATTTCTGATACAGACCTCATAGAACAATTGCCCATCATAAAAATGAATGATGGCCAAAGGTTTTCTAGCTGCTCATTGACTTATTTTTTTACTTTTACTTATTCAGCTGTTCCTTAAATCACAAGAAGCTGCATTATGTCAGAGAAAAAAAAAATCTGCGTCTATCTTCTAACTTTGGTTAAAGCTTAACATCGGAGTACCATCATGTTAGGTTACTTGATCGCTGTAGTAGTCATGGTGAAAGTCATTCATAATGAGTTATGGGCAGATTTTCTCGTGCAGTGGTTTGTCTGATATATTTTATATATCTGGATAACTTCCTGCTAGATTTTCAGCTATATTAATGAGAACCATTACATGCATTTGCAGCCAAAAGCCAGGTAATTCCAGTAGTTCAAAAGCACCATTGGAAAGATCCTCATTTAAGGTTAGTGGTTATACACTACAAATAGTAGTAGGCTAATACCTCTTTAAGCAAAGCAGACAAAGGACCAAACACATCAGACAATGGCTTCTCCGTTGGTAGTAGTCATTGTACCTTAAAACATAAAACGTATCTACAGTCATTACAGAATAAATATGGTCAAACATAAATATATTACAACACATATCTCAGTCGAGTATGGATGTTTGTGAGAGGTAGGGTTTGCAGGTACCTACAGTAGGCCCAACGGAGGGTGTGAGGTGAGACATCACACTGATACTGTTTAATGGTGTTACAGATGAGAACTCGTCTGTGTAGCGTAGTTAAAGAAAAACACAAACATTTAAAATAAAACAATCCCCTTCGTTTAAAAAAGCCAGAGAAAGGATTTACACTGTACTTAAACACTAGATAAAACACTTTTTGATCTCTCTCTGTAGAAGTCAGGGACTGCATTTGCAGGTTAAAGTAGTTTTGTGAAATACCCGACAACAGATGACGACAGACAGACTGTAGTAATACACAACATTAAAACCTAAAATGATCTATAGTTGATCTCAAGGCTCCTCAGTTTGACCTTTGATACAAGGTAGGTCACATCAGTAGTTAGTTGCTAGCTTACTCTTTTGCTAAGTCTTCAGCTCCAAAGCAATAGTTTGGGAAATACACTTCACAAGAGTAAAATGAGAAGATTGTCACTAATCTAATGACATGCAAGTGGTATCAATCTTTTCATCTAACTCTCAACCATAAAGTTGATTTGATAACATTCCAGAATATTCCTTTAAACGTGTCGTAAGGCCAAGATAATCTCCAGTGTAGCTCTTTCAGTAGTCTAAAAACATTAGTGTTTCTTTTTCATCATGCTTTCACTCTGTAGAACATATTACACTCACCCCTCGCATATTATTTCAGTGTCTGTCTGTAAAACTTCTTTGTCACCAGAAGATTACAACGATTATAAGAGACATAAAGTGTATGGATTTGTACACTTTCTCAACCATTGCTGGTAACTAAAGGCTTGCAGTGTAGCTGTAAAAACACTTCATGACGAAATACTAGAACGTTTTTTACCAGACATTTTCTTTAAAGAATACGCTTCATTCACTTCACAGAATAACTGCAAGAAACAGAGTTTTGAGAGGGAGGAGAAGATGAGAAGTTCTTCCTTGAAGTGTTCTGTGTTTTAACTGTTGTTTTCCCAGTGATTTAAAGTTTTGTATCCCTTTGTACGATGCATACCTGTGTAAGAAACAAGCATTTTAGGTTCAGAAGCGCAGGCATGTTTTGTAGCCATTGCAACTTGGTTAGCATGCTCTTCTTCAGGGTGATCAGTTTGGATGAAGGACCTTATGGTGGCCCTCTAGTACTGCACAGTACGTAGTGTCTTGTATGCTTTAGCTGCCATTTGGGAACTGGGGCTGTTACTATAAGATGCTGTTAAATGCTCCTCCATCACACTGACAGAAGACGACAGGGTCCAACAAATCACTGTTATCGAATGTTCCCGGGCTCCTGTCGTCGGGATAGATGTAGGGGTTTGGTCTGTGCGTGGCCCTCAGTGGACCTGAAGGAGTAGGCCGTTGTGAGCCTGGGGAATGCACTTCCCACAGAAGCCACCGCAGCGGCCGTAGATTCTTGCTCCGTCCTACAGAGAAAGACAAACGAGAAAGGAAAGAGTGGGCAAAGGGCAGGCTTTTACGCAGAGAATGAACGCCTCGTAAATGTCACTGGGGATTCCTCTTCAGTGAATCAGATGGAAATACAACATGGAAACTCAGATGACATTTCAGAGCAACAATTTAATTCCAATAAGTCAAGTCCCAACATGAAGCACACATCCATATCATTATACTTTCCCTAAGAGCCGCACGACATACATCATACATAAGAAACCATTTTATAAATCACTTCTTACCTCAGATCTGTGGACTTTGACGGACACATAGTTGCCCTGTGATGTCCACTTGGTGGCCTCAGCCACTTTGAGACCAGTGCCGATCAGATTAATGCTGAACTGGCCCTGAAAACACAAATCAGATTTATTTCTGAGCTTTTATTTAACAGTAAAGATCAAGAACATTTATGTTTTCAGATAAGATTTGTGGCAATGACTGAAACATGGGTGGTCCTAAGTAAAGTATTTGGAAGTTGTTAGCTGGAAAAGGGCATTTCCCCTACAGGTCCAAAGCCTTATAGCAGTAAATGCGTAGTAAATATATTTTTCTTTGGCTTCAAGGCCACACACAAACATATGGCAACATAAAACCCAAATTAAACCTTTTCTATTTAGGCACAATGTAAAAGACTTCACCAACCTGTGGACACTTGGCTGCACTATAACAATCTCCAGCTGTAGCGAAGGGCACAGGTCGACCAAGAAGAGTCTGGGAAAACTGGAGGTCTGTGACTGGTAAACAGAAAAGATACACATCTAGAGTCACAATGTGCAACAGCAGAGGTAAACAAAGAGTGCAGACAGCTGCTCTAAGGTAAATAACCACAGAGCATCAGCAACTACAGTTTATGCAATTACATTTCATTGCAGGGTTGATGTCACTGTCACATTGCCAGATGGTTTGCCTCTTAAAAGCCTTTCCACAAGAAACATTTTTGGAAAGAGATTTGGGGTTTGACTACAGTAATTAATCTAGTTAAATCTTTTGAGCAAAAGAGAGAAAAGACATATATAAAATAAGAAATGTTTTACTTGGAGCTTAGGAAACTATGTATTTCTATGAATCCAGCTATCTGAAGTAGTATAAAAGTATTTGTTACAGCAGATTTCTAATCAGAATCAAAAACAGGTTTATTGATAAGTAGGTTTACACATACGAGGAATTTCCCTTTGTGTGTATGGTGCATATACTGTATAAACAAAGTAACAGAAGATAAACTGTAAGAAGGGTATACAACTATTAAATAAACTATTTTAATAACTATTATAACATTCAAATATAAAGAGAAATATTTACATAAAATATACATTTACAAAAAAACTACAGAATCATTTGGCAAAATACTTTGAAAAATAAAACAAAATATGTGAAGTATTGGGATATAAAGTGGAGCACTGCAGATTTTAAAGAGGTACTTTTGTACATACAGTAAATGTGCAAAATATACAGTTATGTGCGGGGTTCACAATATTAAACTGAACAACAGTCTTACACATAGTAAGGTCAGTGACTCAATCTGTTTCCCATACTCTCCTGTTTATTCCCACCTACCCTGCATGGTCACAGATCAAAACCATGACCAGTACCTTTTCCTGCCCCCCCTTCACGTTGTCTTTATAAAACGATGATAAAGGTTACGAGATGCTTCCCTTCAGCTTGAACTCATTATCTCCCCCTCAGCTCTCCTCAAGCTGCCTGAAAGCCAAATGAGTACCATGCAGGAAGGGGAGGGGGGGGGGGAGAACATGTGCTGTAAGGACCCGGACCAGACCAAGAGGATGGGAGGATGAGTGTGTATGGTCTAATCCAACTTCCCCTCAGCACACACACACACACACTGTACACTAATCCACGTACTCTAATCAAAGGCATACTTGGACACAACAGGGGAGGTGGAGCTGACTGTAATAATGAGCAGAGGAATATGGCCTGAAGATGTGTGTGTATCGTGTGTCTGTGAATGTGTGATTGCATACATGCTAGTATGAGTAAGTGTTTGATATTGATGCGACTGCATGCATGTGTGTGCTCGCCAATAGAAAAGATGTGCGAGGCAGCATCGCATATTGTCTGTCTGTGCTTCAGACCAGGCACGCATGTCTCTATGTTGCACGCACACATTCCTTTATTCATATGTTCACGTGTTTGTGCTGAGGCCCGGCTTCAAGGTCCTCGCCTGGTGATGTGAACACGGAGCGCTGAAAGGTCAACATTTTGACTTCAGCGGAGACAGTGAGGGGAACGCATATTGCATTTGGACGAGTCAGTATTAAGTGCCACAGGATGAGGTGTCTGGGGGTTAAAACAACACTGGTGTGTGGTCTCATTACAGTAGACAGTGTAATTACGCACTCATTATCCTCAGGGAGCTCAGGTCCAGACGAACTTTGTGGAAAAGTGTGTATCCCGCTGCTGAGTAGTCGTTCCTGCAGTCGCAGTCCTGTCTTCGGCTGCCGTTATACGGACATTCAAAGGGGTTCAGCAACCTTTGTATTAAGCAAAACAAGCATCCAAATTGAATCAAGACAAACAGGAACATGTACACTCAGACAACCCTATGTTTATACATGTGGGGGTAAAATGCAGACTTGTATTTCTGATTTCTATATTACATAATCCCTGACAGGTGACGTGGCGATCAGTCATGGTTCGATCATACACACCTGTGCCCGTACACCTCGGAGTAGTTGTCCGTCTGACCGCTGCGCAAGGTCACAAACTCCTTGGGGAAATCAGTGTGCATCTCAGCGCAGTAAATCTGAGGCGAAACACATTGAGACAATACATGAGAGGCGGTGGGGAAGCTGTGGGTTGAGTCATGATGTGTGCAGGAGCATTTCTGACAGAACATGCACACCTGTAGGATCCGGGACTTGACTTTGAGATAGTACTCCCCATCTATCTTCACACCTAGTCTCATCTGGACCTCACGGCAGGAAGCGAACGACTGGCCTGGGTGAAGAAACATGAAAGGAGGAAGTTGAGGTTTCAGTGCAACAGCGAGAAACAAGAAACTTTGACACTGAAGTTCACCGCTGCTTTTAAAACTTGTGCAACCCGGTTAATAAATCTGTTGTCAACACATGCTAGAAAGATTGCTTAAGCGAATAAATCAAACCCCAACTTTGAGAAAACCTGGCTCTCGTCTTTTTAAATGAGAGCTGTTGTAAATGTCTCATTATTTGTGTTTCCTCCTCTGTTTTCCCAGAGTGCTGTAGGGCTCATATCAAACTGATTAGCTGATTAGCATTAATACTTGACCACAGAACTGGCTGTCACCCGAGCATATCATTTTAATTTCGGCAGTGCCTGACTTGGCAGAAGCCAAGTCGGGAATGAACAGCCCAATGTGTGGGAGCAAACCTACACACTTTGGCTTGCTGCTGGGTTTTACAGAGCCTGCAAGTCCACAATGAAGGCTGCCTCAGCTCCACGCAGCCCTACGGCGTCCTGAGACTGTCCGTTTCACAATTTGTTGAAAACGGCTGACTGTATATTTATTGTTTCACTGAGTGATCTCTCCTTGAGGCTTGAAGCGGAGGTCCCTGTTCTACATAATGTGTTGAAACAAAGCAAGAAGTTGAGTTTCTGTAAACACAATCAGATACGGTAGGGGTTGCCATATACAGCACAGGCAATTTAATACCATCACATTAGAAATTCCTGGTTGGCAGTAAGCACTATATAGATCTGATGGTAGACATTTTGAGTGGAGTTAACTCACATTCTCTGTCTCGACAAGCAGCTTGAGACTCAGGTCTTTCTGAAGGATGGCAGTGTTTGGACGCATGGCCTTTGGAGGTCATACACTCCACTCTGCGCTCCATAACTCCTGCCCCACAGGTCTGTGAGCACTGTTATACACACAAGAATACACACACAAGCATTAATCCCAAAACTACAAATCACCTATCACTAATCAGCAACCCAATCCAAATCCCCATGTGAGAATGATCAACAGAATGCACAAGTCATTTAAAGCAATTAGCTAGAAGGGATTTCTCAGTGCATGACAAGCACTTTCTGTTTCACCTTGCTCCACTGGCCAACTTTCCAGTAGGTTGTGTGCGGGCAGTCCCTGAGGAGGCAAGGCCTGGAGCCAGGAGGGTGGGGCTCGGGGCAGTGGGGGCTGGCGGAGGAGGACTGGGCAGCAGCATACGAGCGCAGAGCCTGAGAGGAGGGCACCACAGAGCAGGAGACCATACGCTGCTGGTACCCCACACCACAGCTGGACGAGCACTGAGGAACACACAGATACACACGTCGACTATCAATAAAGACAGAGCAAAAAATACAAAATAGAAGTGGGTGTCTTCGTCTGGTCTTCAGTGGGAATGACGTACTATTAATGAGAATAAATCACCTGAATCATTGTCCATGCTTTCGTACCTGAATGGTGCTAATTTATGTTAAAATGAAGTCTGTATCGCTATCCTGTGTGAACCTTGGATTTCCCAAAATGTCAATGTTTTTATGAGCTACAAAAAACAGCCCTGTGTTCTGCATTGTGAACATTTTCTGCTACTCAAGTGGGTTCTAAAATGATAACTAAAAGGTTGGAGAACTTATGCAACCTAAAAAGTAACAGTTCATCTTTTCTAAAAACATTAAAACCTCGACTTGTTGGGATCAAGCTTCTCAAATGTGAGGATTTGCTGATTTTCTTTGTTTTATAGCCTTTTAAATGAAATACTTTGGTAGTTTTGCGCTGTTGATTGGTTTAAAGAAATGCAAACTGAGACGTCTTTCGGCTTTGAGATTTTACGATGAGCATTTTCCACTCCGCATCTTTATTAGATGTGTATTTTTATCAGAACAAAACTCATTCTTTATTCCTACCTGTGACCATTGCCCTGAAGTCCACATGTAGTGGCACGGAGCTGCTTTGCAGGCCTGGTGTGATGCTGGCTGGGACGATGGCTCACAGTAGTCGTCCTGGACGGGGGTCATCGCTGCGCCCATGCACCCCACCTTCCTGCTTCTCATGCCTTCTCCACACGTTGCATTGCACTAAGAGGAAGAAGTAGCATGTCAGGAAGTGAGCAAAGAAGAGTTGGCAGAGGGGGGGCAGTGTTGTACTTTCAGCAACAACATCATCATTGACTTCTCATACTCCTGCCTCTTTAGCTTGCCAAATGTACACCCCTTAGTATGTAAAGGTTTAGGGAAATGAATTGTCGGCAACATTAGCTCTCAAGAAGCAGAATACCAAACATGTGCTGTGGTTGAATATAAAAGATAACGTTATTTCTCTCAGGCCCAGTAATGTTCAATAGGAACATTTAAAAGTCATGATTTTGGCCAGAATCTTAAAACTAATTTATATAAATAGTCAGCTGTGTGAGGATCTTCAGGGCTAAACTGTAAAAGAAACAAGGCTGTGAGTTCTCGAGGCAACACAGACAGGAATTTAAACACTGCAAACATTCTGCAGCAGGAGGACACGGCGCTATCTCCCTACATGGTGCCCCTCTTTATGCCTCACTTTCGAGGACAAAGCCCGGGACATTAAAGAAAGATGAGCAAAGCAAAAGGCTGTCTGCTAGCGTGACACAGAACCGTGATATTCAGCAGGACAAAAGCCATGATGGCCATCGGTACTTGGTGCTTTGATGTGATTTTACCGACTGATGTTATCACTAAAGCCCACACGATAGATGTGAGAGAGTAAGGGTTCTTGCAGGTCTTCCTTTTAACGGTGTAGTGGAAGAAAGAGCCGAGTTCTCAGCCAATGAAAACCTTAATGGGGTGGTTAGACATCTGTTCATGGGAGACTTGTAAATAGGAAGAGAGAGAAGGAATGAGTCTGTACTTACGTCTTCCCATTCACCAGCGACCCAAGTGTAATGTGTGCATTCTGCAGATTGGCATGGCTGGACAATGGCAAGACGCTGCTGAGCATCACATAGATCCTCTCTGACTCGCCCAGTGCCTTTCAGTCTGCAGTAAACATCTCGGTTCTGAGATCCCACTCCACAAGTGACGGAGCACTAGGAAAGCAGAAAAAAGCAGAAAGCGACACTTATAAATGGCATACTTGTGTGTTCCTGTGCTACTCATACTGCCCTGTACACAGCCACACATATAGTATGATGTTTTATTTTCATGGCATTCCAACCTCATTTCTTTCATGGGACCAATTTTATAGTAACACTCCACTGATGGCACACATTAACTTCAGTTTTCCCCTCGTGAGGAGTGCACTTGGAGACTGAGTTGTTAACAGAAAGTCTGCAATAGAAAACTTAAAGACGGGGTTAAATGGGGTCTGATTAACATTAAGGCAAATGACATGAATTACGTACAATCCACTGTTTTTGTAGTTTGACAAATACAATTGTTAAATCTCGGGCTGTTGGCCTCTGCTGCTGTATTTGCCCCATATGTATCCCAGTGGCTTACAACGACACTGCAACAAGAAAAATCCTCTGTTGCCCGAAACCAATTAACTAATTTACCCAAATTATTAAAGACAGTATGTAACTGCCAACGAGCACACGTATTAATCTTAGTATTTAGAATGTCATGAACGACTAATATTGTATGGTTTAAGAAGCTTAAGGAAAGACATGAATCTGCAGATGGGTTAGTTAATGAATGGGCAATAAATCCAATGTGGAATGGGATATGTTTTCTACTGAAATCTGGGGTGTACTTAAATAAAGTATAAAAGGCAGCAAACTAACTCAGTAATGTAACTATAAGATACTGGTCATAACAAACCAAAAAGATCTGCAACAGCAAACCACTGAGTGTTTTTAATTAAAGTGGACATATCATGCTATATTTGAAATATATATTGTAGGGCCATACCTATATAAAACATGTCAGTGAAGTTGTTTTTTTTCAAAATACCAAACAGATCACCCATTGTCGCCATGCCTCATATTGCTCAAACCCCTCTTTTGAAGCCCTGTTAGAGAAACGCGGATCTTGGGTCCTTAGCTTGAAAAAAATAAATAAGAGGAGGCGGAGCTAATGCCTGATCAGAATTCTACCGGAGATAAAGTTAAATTTGGTTGTGATAAAACGCCATCCTGTTTAAACCACATCAAAGATTATTTCTGAAACAGTATGGAGCTCAAATGCTTTTTCTCTTGCAGGTTTATCACAAGGTGAGTTCTTTTTTTATTTCCTGCTTTTTAAACACATGTGCTCTCCAGTACAGGTTAGCTCTGAGTGTTAGCGAAGCTTGCTAATGTAAACAAAGACGTCCAAAACACGTCAGGCATTGTTTATGATAGCAACTTTCTGTGGGTCCGCTGCCGATTTGACGTCAGTTCAGATGGAATCTGTATCCGCTCGTTGTACACCCGTTTTTAAAAGATTTGGGTACGGAGGAAAAGAGAGAGGGTTTTATTTTCTGATGCTGCGTGAGTTCCCCGACGCACCGGGGACACATATTTATGTATAAAAGACACCACAAAGTGCATTTTGCATGATAGGTCCCCTTTAAGTAAACTTCCGTTGTATTGCTTAAGATTTCAACTTGTCATTTTCATGAGAGAAAATTGCTTCAAAAGTTCCATAGACTTTCTTTTATGTGGCAATAATTGAAAATGTTTGCTTGGACTTCAGTGTCAGATTTACTGCTTTGATGCCCCGAAATTATGTACTTAATAAATCCAAAGCCAGTTTGTCGCTTCCGTGTAAGAAGTATATCTGGGGTCACACAAAGGTCTATCTGAAACATCTCTTTGATGTGCTTTGAGAAGCATACCTGCATACTGAGGAAGCACTCTGTAAGGCTTGAGCTGATCAGCCTGATTTCCTACAGACCTCAAAGAACTGAGCCAGGCCTCAGCGATTTCACACACTCAGAAAATCTGTGTGCTATACAGCGACTATCAAGTTCCCCAAAAACGTCCAGATGTATTTGTGTTGTTAGTTTCTCGCTACAATTGTGTGTTATCATTACAGAGTGTGTAGCGGAGTCTGAAGGGTCAAGGTCTCGAATTTGGAAAGAGAACAAAAAGCACCACAGGAAATCTGACCTTCAAATAAATAAAATGGCTTTTTAAAAAAAATCTTACAAAATAAAACCTGCTGTTAAAATGATTATACTCGCTGCTACAGCAACCGGATTCTGTTTTCGTGCCAAAAAATCTGTGCTCTTTCTTTCAGGTGCTGGGGAAACTAAAGGAGCACTATGATTTCACAGTAGAGCTCAGTGAGCCTCACCAGACTTTAAAGGGTCAGTTCACCCAAATACCTAGCCATATTTTCGGACTTCTGTCTATTGATATCTAGCCATAAATATCATTTGGGGTTGCACCCACTGATGTTAATTGAAGGTTATTTGTGCTACTGCCAGCATTGAAATATTACATTACTACTTTCAACCACAAAATATAGACCCAATTCTTTGGACTATCCAGTAAATGGATGGATGTTTATGTGTTCTTTATGTGTATTTCATGCCATACAAACACATTTCCATTCACCTCCATTGCATTAGGGTAGAGGCAGATATTTCCAGAAACTATATCTGAGAAACACAAGTGAATAAAACTCTCTACACAGCTGTAAGCTCTAGACAAAAATGAAAAATATTTACATGTGTGTGCACATGTGTGTGCACAGCATTACAAACCCCCAAATCCACTAACATGTTGCCCATTACACCTCAACTGTGAGGTGATTGAGAGGGCCGGCGAGCTGGGAATAACTAAAACAGTGGGTGCTGAGGTTTCAAAGTTGTCACATGCATGGACATTAAGATATAAAACATGTCTTTATGCTCTAGTTGAGGATTTCATGGTTGCTGGTGGTATGCGGAGGAAGATGATTGCTTCCAGACACCAGTACGAGAGAGAGGGTGGGAGGGGGGGAGGACACCCTCAAAGAGCGGGGAGTGGTAGGAGTCTTATGTTAGGAGGAGGACGTGGGTCTGGAAGGCCTTTTGGGATTCAACTCAGAAAGGAAGAGTGATGTGGTCGACTTTTAAAACAGGAGATTTTTTTAATATCTAAGTGAAACATTGTTTAACCAAGAAGTGACAGAAAATAGATAGTAAATGCTTATTCAAAGATTACACAAACCTTCGCCACTATAATCTTATTTGAAAATAATAATAACCTGATATTGCAGGTTTAAGAGGCGACTTGTTTAGGCTCTTTGTATTTATTGTTTGTTTTTGAAAATACAGTATGCTTGTTCCTCAGGGTAATCTGTGAGAGCATGTCAAATCATTCCTCCTTTCACTCTTCTTTAACAGATATTGAGGTTGTGTGCTCGGCTCCACAATGACTATGACCTCACCCTCATAGCTACTTCTCTATGTGTGACCTTTGCCCTGTGAGTGTCTGGTTTAACTAGTGTACAATGGTACAGAATCCTGCTGTGCTTCGAGAGGAGTGTCATTCTTAACGCCATGCTTTCATCTGTATAGGAATCCACAATTTGCTGCATCAGTTCCCATGTTTAAATGTGTCAGTTGAGCAACGCACACATTTAGTGCATTAAATGTGATTTGCATGAAAACACTTGTGAGGGTGTCATGCAACATACAGGAACCTTGAAAAACATGTTGGACAGTGATGAAAGCTTCAATAGTAGAATTCACTTAGCATACAACCTTACACAACTATTTCAACACTGTGTACGACCATCTTAAACCTGACTGCCCAATAATAAACTGAGTGGTGATTGGTGTGATATATGCAGCCTCTGGGAAACCTTCTGCTGTGTTTGTGCTCGTGTCTCAGCAGTAACTGTTAGCACGGTCCCTGAGAGGGAGCCTGGGAGATGGCCAGGAGTTTAAACATACCTCCCTCCACCTGTTGGCCTTCCAGCTGGGGCATCCCTGCGCCCGACAGGCCTTCTCTGTCCGCGGCTGAGGAAGATGACCGCAGTGTTCCTCCTCTATTTTGGTTTGGTTCTGATAAACACAGGCTATCTCCCGCTGCTTGGTCCCCCGACCGCAACTCACTGAACACTGGAGAGGGAAGTGGAGAGAGGGGGGAAGGGTGGAGAAAAAGAGAAAATAGGGGCATATTAGAACAGTGCTGTTGAAGATGAAAGACCTCGATCTCTGCTACGTCAACATTCAAACAGAACGTTTTTCTAAGTACTTATGGACCATTTAGACTCTTGACAAAGTAGCACTTGGTGCCCCCAACAGCTTCCTTGTTGCATTTCATGGCCAAGTGAACTCACTGCAAACAATTTTAACTGAGCAACTTAAATGGATTTCACCAAAAGCTTTTGTCAAACACTCAAACGACGTTGGAATGCAGCCAGCTATTTAACCTGTAAACAGAGGAATTACTTTTAGGGCTGCTGTGAAAGGCAGGAAGAAAAGATGGAGAGTCAATGCATGCACACGGAGAGACAGTCATCTGGTACGAATAAGGAACCCAGCAATACTTAAGGAAAGCTAGAAAGCAAAGAAGAAGGAGAAAAAACACGTTGAATAAAATCCAGACACGCTGACAGCTCTGAAAAAGGCCTTAGCCCGAGGTCGCAGATGGTAATATATTCTCGAGTCTTCGGTCCTCATGAGGCCAGACAGCAATTAGGGTGCCCGCTATTTCTGCTTGACGAGTGAGCGCCCCTATACAAAGCCACTCCAAACATGGAGTGCTGGAATCGAATACACAAGACAAGTAGAGTTGCATTTTGTCTTAGCATATTTTCCAGTCCAGATAATAAACATAATATTGCATTGTCCTCTAATTATGATCTCAGAATGTTGCATAACACATTACACACATGTCTTTCTTCAGTGTGCTCACAGTGCTAATCATACTACAAATGATGGAACATAGAAACCTAAAAGTACTTGGATTTTTATCTTTTTTAACTTCAGTTTCTGGGAGATAAAATAAATGTTCCCTGTTTAAAAACACTTTACTGATGATGAACTTTTTATTTGAACTCTTTAAACAAAGTCAACCCTTTTCTTTGTAAGTGTGTGGTGGGCAGTGGTTGACAGTGCACACACATGCATCATGCACATTGTAATTACCGAGGCATTTTAAAACACAGGCCCCTGGCTCAGCTGACGGAGAACATCAAAGCCGAGGGCCGGAGCTGACGGACTAGTCCTGAGCATGGCAGATTCGCATACACTCACTCACAATGATAACACAACTCCCTCTACCTCAGACAAGAGCAGAGACAGGCAAACATGTTGGAGGGGGGATGAGGCGGAGGGATAGCCCCTCCTTACTGCTGTAAAAGCAGGAGGAGAAAAAAAGAGAAAGAAAAAAAAAGGAGGAAGAAAGGAAATCGCAGCCATACGGGCTGTGCTCCCCCAGCTGAACTGTATCTGCATTTGAACGGTGGGAGAAAAGACGCTATATGGCGATGTGCTCCTCCCTCCACCCTTCCAACCTCATCTGTCAGCCATTAGTTAATCAGGGCTGGTCGCACAGAGCAGAGAGCTGGCACCGCTCGTGGGACCAGAGGACAGCTTCACCTCTGAGAGCAAGAAGAGGGCAAGGACTCGGAGACCTCTGCTTCACCGAGGTACAGCTGGGCTGCTTCACTCAGCAGCAGCCACTCAGGTAGGACTATTCCACTTATCACTCTCAGCCGCTAGAAGTGTGACAAGTTACCGTTTAGCTGCTTTATTCTCTTTGCTTAAAAAATAGAGGTGCCTGTGTTTGGAGAATGTCAAATTTAAAATGGATGACTTCATGTCCTTTGAAGGTTAGTGCCTGCTTATATAAAAGCATACTATGTATCATAATAGTATTTTGGGCATGTACTTAATCTGAATTATATGTCATATTCAGTTTACTATACCGTACCTTATATTCAGTTTCAACAAGTTGTGTTAGTGCTATTCTAATGTATGTATCTACTGTTTTATTCTCTGTCTCTGTTGCTGTAATGTGAGTGATTTGAATATATGGAAATATTCTTATTTTAACATGAAGGAAATCTCCTTGACTAAAACATAAATCAACTGGTCACATGGGAAATAATCACTCTTGCTGTACGACAGATTTGCCCGCCCACGTTGTCCCAGCAATTCATTTCACATGATTAGGCAGGTTAGATCTACCATAATCCTGTGAGGTTCAGCTAAGCATAATGAGGATTACTCTAAAAAAAGGGATGACTCAACCGCTTTTGAGAAAGAAGTGTCTTCCAAGCAGAACAGAAAGTCTGCAGAGATAGACATAATTGATATGTAAATCCAAATGTAATGAACACGCTGCTCTAAATGACTCTACTTAGTGGCTTTCTTGATTTGATAGTTTCACAGTTCTGAGTCAAATCACATAAGTGACTGCTAAACCCGACCCAGTTCATTTATCCCTATTCTAAAACCCTGAAAAACTGGATATTAAGAAATATAATTTTGTACGGACAGATTTCTTTAAAAAAAAAAACGAATGTTTAGCCTTATATGAGATGCTTTCTTTTGTCTAGGACTGGCAGGCGTCAACCTCAAGATGACCCCGCCCACTGCATTACTGGGAACAGGTAAGCCAATGGGACACATGGAAACTGTTAGGCATTTAAGAGGAACTCCACTGGAGTTTAAATATCTGTCACTCAGCCAATGTGGCTATCAAAGCAGCTAATACTGAACAGTACCTCCCACAGAGAAGGTGGATTCCACAAAACCAACAAAGATCAAGACGGCTTTGTTAAATTGCATTTATTTGCTCACTTATCACTCTGGCCTTAAGCACTGCATGAAAACAAGTATTACTGTGAAAACTATAATTACACAACACAAGTCTTTTAGTTTGGTCATAAAAGCAGAACAGTGTGTTCTGAAAACAATGGTTTATTGGGCCAAGAAATAAAAAAGACCTCGTAAAATTATAATGAGAGGCTTGGCAAATGTTGCTGGGTCAGTGATAAAGATATATGTATTTGATTATTGTTTGACATGCTGGTTTATTATATATGTTGCTACACATTGAAGGAAAATGTATAGAAAAATGAAATGATCTAATGGGAGTACAGCCCAGTTAGTGATATATACCATGAAGGCATAGAATGAATGCTCTATAAAGTATTAAGGGCATTATGTTAAAAGGCAACACGGACCACAAAAGAGTTTGTTAAATATGTGTTCAATATTATTTAGTGATTCTAAGTGAGACCATATCTTATAATGTGAGAGCCAAGGTCAAATTCCAATCACATTGCAGCAGGCTCGCAATGCAAGAGGATGGTAATACCAAGCATATGCTAACTGCAGTTACATAGACTTTTCAAAGGAGCTCAGTGTCGACCCGGAGCAAGAACAAACTTGCAAGTGTATACTGTGAAGGGAATTATACCCTGTGCTACAAGTGTGTCAAAGCTAACCACACTATTTAGTCAACCATGCTCCAGCTGAATGTTAAATATCTGTACAACAAATCATGCAAAGAGCAGGACGTAATAGAACTGAATGCACTCTAAGATAGTGCCATGTCTTTTGTTATAGCCTAATCAGTATCAACATGTCCTCTGGTACATAGATTACATTGCAAATCAGAAACAAAGAAGGGAGGAAAATAAAGACGTAGAAGATTCAGGATGCTTTTCTGATCTCGGTTTTGTTTTGCAGGGAGGTTTCAAAGACAGAAGTCAAAACAACACATGTCAACATGGGAACAGCTGGTAAGAGCGGCTTCATGGGGCAGAGGAATGTCAAGAGTTATAGATATTTTATCCATCAGGACAAAATAGCCAGACTTGTTTGAAACCACGCATAGGAGCAGTGTGAAATTGAAATATGCAACTCACCTCACGCTAACCCTTACTAACTTTAATCATGACCAATCTCACAACATGCTTTGAACTAAAAAACCATATGATGTTTGTTTTTTTAAATACATGCAAATATACCCACATGGAAATAAATGTGTATTCTGCTAACAGTAAAGTAATGAATTTCAGATGCTACAAGTTGATTTGACTACATTATTCATCCAATATTGGAGTGTCATTAGAGCCCCTGACAGACAGTCAGCTGCAGCGCTCTTACGATTGGCTAAAACTAAACCGTATATTATGCACAGAGTATGACTTTGCCATGTTTAAAGAGTTACATAAACAGCCAGTTGAGTAGGCATATACAGTTTCCTCAACATAGTTTCCTTTTTAAGTCAACACCACTCAGAAAAGATACACCAAGAAACCATAAGTAAAAACGAAATGACAAAACAGCCCAGTTTTTCCGTTTGTCTAAACATTACTCTGAGAGTTTTTTCCATTACCGTGTTGTACTGAAACATCCAGCACTGCTCTCTACCTATGTTTAAAGTGATGAATGACTATACAGAAAAAAGCTAATTCTTGATGACAGAATTTGAAAAATACAGCAGTGCAGCCCTAAACGTATAAAGCAGTGACCTTTGACACACAACATTCAAGTCTAAGTCCATCTTCCTGCGAAACGTAACACAGCTGCTTTTCCAATCTGTCATAGCAACCAGCTTGTCACAGCTTGCATACAGGGAAGTATGGACCATTTCCAAGAAGTGAATGATCATTGCTTTGCACAAATAGTACAAAACAAGTAAAGCAAATTCTCTTGTCCTTGTGGTAAAGCTAAAACATCACATAGTCATGTATGTTGAGGTTGAAATAGAGGATTATCTCCATTAGTGAGTTTGAACACCCAATCTGTCACTGTCTCACCACGAAGAAGGCTTCCTGATAGAGATGTCGAGTCCCACTAACTCTATTTCACTCCATCAGCTCGATAGCATCGACAGGCCCAAACAGGACACCGGCCCCGTCGAGTCTGACGTTAAGAGAAGAATATACATCTAAGTGGAGTCTGAGAAGCGACTCCTAGAGGCTTAAAACCACTTTATAATACTTGACCGACAACTTGAGGAAAAGCAGGCGCACTCTACCTGTGTCAAAGTGAGGCCATGCTCCCCATCATCATCAGTCTGGGGTAGACCAACCTAAATGCTCCCAGACTTTCACGCCCTGTCTCCTCTCATTTCTTCTTACTGCATTTGCTCCCCA